TCTCTCTCTCTCTCTCTCTCTCTCTCTCTCTCTCTCTCTCTCTCTTTTAGCTGTTTTTCATTTTTCCTCTTTTCCTCTATTCCTTTTTTTTTGTTTTTTTTGTAGCGAAAAATTCCCCGCTTGGGAATGACGCGATGTGACAGCTGTGTGTGTGTCATCCTTCCTGTTCCTCCCCCATGCGCGTTCGAGGAGGCGCAGCAAATTGACACACAGGGGAGGGAGAAAGCGATTCGCCGTTATCAATTATCGGTTAGCAAATTAAGCCGGTAAGCGGTAACGTAGCGCTAACGTAGCGGCAACGTAGCGGTCACGCAGCAGGAACGTAGCGGCAACGCGACCCATCCCAACCCCCTACAATGAACTCCTTCTTCTGCGAAGATACCAAGGAGGAAGAACAGCTCCTCCAGAAGATTATAAAAGTGAAAGAAGAATCCTTGCCCAAAGTCATTTTCGAAATTGTAACCAACAAATGTTTGTCCAGGAGGTCAAAGGGGAAGGAAGAGAAGGTCAAAGTGGAGCCCCACTTGTCGGCGCACTCCCTCTTCAGCCATGAAACCCATGATGGGTGGAGTGACCAGACATATGTGCCAAACAAAGAGGAACAAAATAAAACTCAAGCTGCGAATGGTGATAATGCGAACGGTGCAAATGTGAACGCACAACTACAAGCGCATGTTTTCCCCTTCCATCTTAAAAAAAATGGGCATGTCAATGCAGACACCTTTTTTATACCCTACAAAAGTCATAACGATAAGGATGTGATAACGGAGTACACGTATAGCTACAGCTACTACGATGTGTACACTCCTAATATTGAAAACACAAACAAACTCTTTAATGTGAATAATGATCAGTTGTGTGATGTTGCACCAGAGGGGGGGGAGGCAGTGATTGGTCAGAAGCACGTTAAAGTGAAACAAGAGAAGGAAGATACAGAAGAAGACGATGATGAACTGCCTCCGGAAGGGTTTGCTGAATGGAGCATACAAAAAAAAAATGAGACAAGGGAAAACGAAATGGGGAAAGAGGTTCCAAAGGAAGAATCACCTTCCCTTACAAATGCAAACCAAACTTGTACAGAAAAAAATATGCAAAAATTCCTTGTCCATTTTAGGGGCAGATTGTTCATCGGATGTAATCTCATCTATTCTCACTTCAAGTGTAACACATTTTTATGTACCATACAGAGTAAAGAATTGGACCCAGGGGAGAGCACTTCCCTCAGAGAAAACGACCTACAATTTGTTAAAAAAGAAATACAAACATACAACTTAATTAATAATGCTATATATTGGAAGCAGGATGAATACCCAGATGTGTCCGACCCCAATATTCAAAAGTTTCTCTTCTTGACGGTCGTGCCGGCGCTGTGTGATTTTGAAGAGGAGGGGGAACAGGCAGCCGACGTTCTCTTCTAACTTGGTGAAAAAAGAGAGATGTACACCTTGGAAGCGTCCTGAAGAGGTATCCCAAGTTTTTTTTTTTTTTTTTTTAATCATCTCGGATGACCCATATTCAGCCCACTCGCATGTGTCTAACACTTAATGAGCACCAGCATAGAGGGAGATGGCCTTACGCGATAAGTAAATCCCTTTGTTACTAACGAGCTTCACATTAAGTGGGGTGTCTTCCGAGTGCGCCTCACTGTCCGTCCATTTTGGACGTGGCCCGTCCGCTTCGCCACCGCCAACAGTATGACTACACTGCGCTTCGCTGCGCAGGCCCCGAAAAACAGAGCGCAGATGGGAACAGAAGACAGGTGAGTAAATGCCCAGCTCGCTAAAGCTATTGACCAACATGAGCAAACATTTGGTGGTGGGCATATCATGGGGGGTTTCCATTTTCTCCAAGAGACTCTCGCTTTTGTTCAATATGATGCTAGTTGTGTCGTTTTTAATTTTCCTCTTCGAAACGACATAGGCTGCTAAGGCTAGATGGTGGAGAGTGGCTTGCTCAACCTGTTTAGTAAAATATATTTGAAACATCTGATACACGTCCTCGTGGTCAATTCCAAGTTTGGTGTAGCAGTAAAGGATATTGCAGAGGGTAGATATATTCATTCGTCTGGCCATGAGGATGAACTTTGCGTTTAGGCTATCTAAGAGGTGTTTGCTCGGTGACGTTTGCCCACCGGTGGGAGGCACCCTAGTGAAAGCGGCCCCGCGCCCCCAACCTAATTTAACCATGCCGCTCAGGATAAAACTGAGCTGATGCTCATCGCACAAATGGACCTTCTTCTCAATTTCAGAAAAAACAGCCGAGAGGTAATCCGGCTCGGGGACTCCTAACTTGATGAACCCATTAATGATTAGGGCCAGATGTCTAATGGTAGCTAGCTTGATCTTCTTAATGGTTTCTTCAAAAATTATTTTTAAAAACTCTTTAGGGACATCAAACCATATTCTACAACAGGCATTAATTATGAGGGAGAGCGATTGGGTGTTCATTTTGTGCACGTCCTTTGTAATCTCCAAAAGTACTGCAAGGAACATGTTCCTCAACTCTTCTGTTTGTTTGCTTCTCTCTCGCGTAGCTCCACCCACTTCATTTCGTTCGCAATGTGCATGTTTTCCACCGCTGGATGGCATTCCTACAACGTTATTATGACTCCCTTGAGTGACTTCCCCTCTTTCATTATCACATTTCGTAGTGGTATCATCTCGGTCCCATCTAGGGAAGCCTGCCTCCCGGATGAGCATCTCGTTGTCCACTTCGTCCAGCACACTCTGGTGATACGCACAGTTATTCATATCTCCCTCGATGTCGTTTTTGTCCCGCTGCTTCTGATACTTCCTCAACTGCGTTACGGTAGTTAAACGTGGACTTGTTTCTTCCGTTCTCGTATTTTTCCTCTCAGGGGTTGAAGCGTCTTCGTTAGTTGCTCCTGCCCCGCCGCGATGCAGTAGCGTAAGTACATCCCCGCGGTGGTGTCCAGAGGGGTACTCAATATCGTCCCCTTTCAAATCCCCCTCTATGTTAATCCTATCTAGCTTAACATTTGAGACTTGCAAAAAATGAGGAGTTGGTTTGGTCACTTGCGAGAAGCAATTAAGTAGCATGGCCAGTCCCTGTGGCGTGAAGGACTTCCTACACTTCGAAAAAGAGTTCAGCACAAAAAGGAGAAGCTTCAGTGTCATTTCACGAAATGAGTAATCGTTACAATGCTTGGAAAAGGCATTCAAGGTGACAATAAGAGGAAAGGAATTAGAATTTTCTCCAATTGGTAACTTCATGAATTGAGTTAAAATCAACTCAAATAATTTTTTGTCGAAATAATTTAACACATTTAATGAATGACAAATATGGGCACAAGCTAGCATGTCCATTTTATGTACATGTCCTTTTTTTATTTTTTCACTGAATTTTAAAATCATTTTTACATCACGATAATTCACTTTCGCATATGCATGGAGTATTCTTCCCATTTCCTTTGTGTCAAACGTATCACTTATATTGTTTGCTCTTTCGCTTAGCTTATCCCAAGTGATCCTATCATATGGGCCTTCATTGGACACACGTTCAATCGTCTTTGTAATTCTGCTGTGACTCATCCAGGAGATACCAGCCAGTGTGTCATGCGAGACATATTTCCTCCTTATTATGTAAATGGGCAAAATGTGTGGCTCCTTCTTAACTATTCGAAGGAGAACTCTACACCGTGATGTCGTTGCCATGGCCTCCGCAGCTTTAGTGGTCTCTCCTTTGGTGCCCTTATAAAAGTTCTTTTCTACAGAGGCACGGTGTGGAGCAGCAAACCCAAGCAAGGGGTGACACATGTAGCGGCTATGCAAGGAAAAAATAAAAACACACACGCATTGATTTATGTACAAGTATCAGTTGCATATCGCGTCAGCACTCATCCGTCGCCGCATACGGGTATAAAAGATAGGGGGAAAAAAAAGGGGAAAAAACGCATTTCTAACACTCGCGAGGCTGATTTCTTGTCCCGCTTGCACTCTTTTTTTTTTTTTTTTTTTTTTTTTTGCGTCCCCTGGTTGTCCTCGAAGCAAGGATAAAAACAATACGGAGCCTAATTTGGAAGGTTTTTCGGGGACCTTGCCCCCCACTAGGCGGGGAAACTGACCAATGAGTAAGTGAGAAGTGTCACAGGTGCAAAGTCGAAACGGACAAAAGTGATAAAATAAAAAAAAATCTGTAACGCCGTTAAAAGGGGAGGCACAAAAACAATGCCTTAAAAATTTTCCCTTGAGAGAAACACAGAAGTACTATTTTGAAAAGTTCACTTCTTGAGGCGATGATTGAATCCCGACGTCCACTCCGGGGCATCAACCTAGTGGGTATCTCTTCCTGCGCAGATAGCCACGAGGAGCATGCGTGCGACCCCTTCTTCCGTCACGCCTGGATCAGTCAAAGGGGGAAAAACCCAACTACCACGACAAAAACCGCTTCTACTGTTCGCACAAGGCGTATTTATGAAAAGTGGTATGTGTGGTTGGTGTACCCAACATAGGAATGGGGACATTAGCGGCGGCACGAGAAAATGAAGCAAGGTGTGATCCGCTACCACACACACACAATCACACACGTGTGGAACCTCCCATTTACTCCTTTGCGGGAAAAACACTAACCCTTGAACAATAAGACTCAACGCATTATCAACGTCCTTTCCTCCCCCACGATGGGTAAACAGTGCAAAATAACACAAACGTTAGAAAAGTCGCCACACGTGTTCAACATAAAATGAGTCGGTTTCTTTTGGATCGGAAAACAAATGTGTATATATATGACGCTAAAATAGGGCCGAACTGGAATATATGACAAAATTATTAAAAAAAAAAAAAAAAAAAAAAAAAAAAAAAAAAAAAAAAAAAAAAAGGAAAAAGGAAAATGGAAAATGGCGTACTACGGGGTAGCCTCTAAACAACACTTCTATTCATCGATCCAACCTCGTGCCGCTTCACTTACGTGCACCCCCTAGTCCATCCTCTTGCGCTGATTCTCCCAATCATAGTAATCCTCGATGCTGCCGATGTAGGGCATGTTGGAGAGAATGTCGTTTGGCTTGTAAGCGAGAACAAGCATACCACACAACTGCACGAATACGTTTTTTAGGTAGTCCGCTGAAACACCGAAACGGCACGTATCCTTCAGTATGTTCGCGTAGCACTCCACGTAACGAAGCATCTCAAAGTACTCAGACTGCTCTTCAAACAAAATGCGGTTATAATAGTTAGATGCATTTCCTTCAAACTGGATGGGTCCTGGATTACAGAATCTATCCTCCATCTGCCACTTTTGCAAAGCAATTTTTAAACTTCTATACGCCTTGCCGTTCAGGTCAACAGGGGCACTAGGAATAACAGGGAGGTCTCCTTTAGAAGCGCTCTTCAAATACTTACTGCCCTGTCCTCTGGGCAAAATTTTCATCAACGATATAAAGGGAATGGCAAACATTTTCCAATCTTTAATATTACCACAGAGCCCCCTTATCGAGACAATATATCCTGTGAGCCCACTTTCAATCACTATAGAAGCAGCATGGCCATAGGAATAAGCCAATTTACAATCAAATTCAGATGGCAGGGATGAACGGCCTTGGTAACCAAAGAAGTGAGTCAATCCCATGAAGACTCCTGAATATTTTCCCTGTTGTTTCCTCTGATGGAGTTCTTCCTTCACCATTTGTAAAAGCAACTGTTCTGTTTCTAACTTTTCAAATCTCATGGATCTCAAATCCACGTGCAGCAGTTCCTTAATGATGAATTGGGGGAATGTCTTCAGCAGGGCTAAACTCCACGGGGTCAATTTTTCAACCCATGGGGAGGTAGACACGGGTTGTGCGTCTGTCGACGTTGCTCCGGATGCAACCCCAGCTTTTGCTCCTGCTCCTGCTCCCCCTGTTGTGCCACTCTGCGTGGTCGACAAATTCACCAAGTCATTCCTCGCCTCGACCAATTTCCCCTTCTCATTAGCATCGTTCAGTATGTCACTAATTTCGGTTAGTAGAATCTTCATATGAGGTAAATGCATGAGTAGCGCATCCGGGATCAATACCGTACCGTAGTTCTTTCCCAATTCAGCTCTTGCACAAACCACATCTGCAATGTCTTGAACAACCCTCCACAATGTTTTATCAGCAGCTCCATACTCCTCCGAAATGATTACCATGTTAGGATGAGTCTGCAACGCACACTCTAGAACTTCATGAGAAGGAGATCGTCCCATTAGACGAATGAAATGCCAATACTTGGGCATACTAACTGCATCTGTTAGAACATTTCCAATGAGTGATGCATATACCTTCGTACTGCTGTCAAAACCTACACACGTTTCTATCAGCTCGTGAATCAAATTGTTCGATCCTGTTAGTGGGATACCGACAACGGAGGTAGGGATTTTCTTCTCTAGGAAATATTCAGCCAAGAGTGCTGCTTCTGTAATGGTAACATTTGAACCAGGCATCACCAAACCGTTGAGTTGCAAATTGGTTACTGTCTCACATACCTTATTTCGATTCTCTTTATCAAATAAGGAATGCTCAGGAGAAATTCCTGTTAACTCTAACCCTCCTTGGTTCATATGCTTGGCTATGTTGTCGTCGTCTATAATGATATACTTATTGTTTAGTAAACCATACAGTCCGTAAAAGGCAATGCAGACCCCTTTTAACAATTTCAGTCGGTGGTACAGACCACATAACACATTCATCGCTCCTGGTGCTTGTCGTGACAAAAATACAATTCCTATTTTTATTTCAAATGATATTGGAGTGGCATACTTGTCATGAAAAATTTCTTGAATTTGAAATTTATTTTCATATGACATGTGGGGGTAGTTGGATAGGATCTGCTTCTGTGTGTAGGGGTCACTCGATATGTACTGCTTTCCTGCCCTCACTTTGGCTTTCAAATCTGTGCATAGTTCAGGAAGCATCAACTTGTTGTATAGCCTGGAGGTCTGCAACTCGGACATGCATCCTAACGACTTGTAACTTGAGCAATGCTGTTCGTAAAATTCATTTTCCTCTTGATCTGCATTGGCACTTGCATCGCTTGCCAAGTCGGGGTGGGCAATCTTCCCTGCCACGGCTCCCGAGTCATTTCCCCCTTGTTTGCTGTGCATGGGTAGAGAGTTCTCCTGAGTCGCTTTACACATAGCATTAATCGCACCATGTTCCTTCCCCCTGTTCATCCCATCGTTGGAAATGGCACTAATACCCATCTGGTTGTCTCCCTCCACATCAGCCCCACCAACAACATTGCTACCCCCCACATGGTTCGTCTTATTAGCCAAATTAATAATCATTTGCAATTCCTCTGCGTTCTGACACAGGAGTGTATTCTTCGTGGGTATCTTCACCGTGTAGCATCTGGAATTACTCAAGTGCCCATTGAACTGAATAGGGCCAGGAGCTCTATATAAATCATATAGGGACCATAAATTACGAACTTCTTTCAATACGTTAAAAAGTGGGCTGTCCAAATCTACGAGGTATCTCTTCACAGCGGGGAACTCCTTCCCTGTATTGTCCCTATTCACATGCATGATACGCAAAAATGGAATGGCCGCAGGGATCCAATTGGTATAGGAATCCTCTAAGTTTTGTATAATAGACATGTACCCTGTTTTCTTATGGTCAATTAACAAAGCAGCATTGTACCCCAGAGCATAACAATAATTGCAGTCAAAATTGGAAGGGGTGGCACACCTACCCTCATATCCTAAATAATGAGCCATGAACTGAATATTCAAACTATTGTCTTTAAGTTTTGCTAATTCAGATTCAACGAGGACAATGATTAATCTCTCTGTTGCAATTTTGCCCACTTGAATATAGCCCGTCGATTCCCTATCCATTAAAAGCTGATCTTGGATGATGCTAGGTAAGAAATCCCAAACTTCCCTAGAGTTCTTCAATTTGTTCGCATCAAATGGACCTTCCTTCAAAATGACATTCAACTCACCAATCAACAATTTCATTTCAGGTACAAATTCGATTAATCCTTCGGGGATTAAAATAACTCCATGATTTTTATTCAGTGATTTTCTCTTCAGTATAGTATTAACAATGTTACTAACGATATCCTTTAGGGACCATTTTTCCTTCTCTACTTCTTCTCCTATGAGGACTATGTTTGGCCTTGTCTGCAAAGCACACTCCAACACTACATGGGAAGCAGACCTTCCCATCACTCTCACAACGTGATATACATTATGTCCTGTCTTCACATCTGTACATAAATTGCCTATCACTTCAGAGTACGTCTTCGTGGCAGTATCAAATCCAAAGCTAATTTCAATTGCTTCACTTTTTAAATCCCCATCGATGGTTTTAGGAATACCAATAACAGAAATGGGAATTTTCCTCTCAGCAAAATATTCAGAGATCAATGCTGCGTTACTGTTTGATCCATCTCCTCCAATTATTACCAACCCATTCATTTTCAACTTGGCAACAATATTTTCAATGGCAATCAAATCGTCTTTATTCCTGACCTTTCCTCGTCCTGACCACAACATGTTAAAGCCACCCAGGTTACGAAACCGATTCATTAATGAGTCCGTTATGGTGACGTAATTTTTACTATACAAACCATCTATGCCTCCTAAAAAGCCAATAACCTGTGATTGCTCGTTGTACCTCTTCGCATAATCATATATACCCGATATGACGTTGTGTCCACCTGGCGCAGGACCACCAGATAAAATAATTCCAATTTTCAATACATTTCCTCCCTTAAAAGATTCATGGTTATTCGTTTCCTTTACGTTCAAAAAGGGTAAGTTGTGTAAATTCTTCAAATATTTTTTCACATCCTCATAATCTTTTTTGTTAATAAAATCATCCCCGTGGTTTTCTTCTAACACCTGATACTCACTTGCCAATGCCTTGGGTAATGTTGGTTGGTACTTTATCCTTTCATATTGTAGAGGACTCAAATCATCATTTAGGGATGCCGAATCACCATGTTCCTTTAGCTTTTTTATCTTCATATTTTCATTATCTACAAGGTAGAAGGAATTCTTCATTTCCTTTTCCACTAGGAACTTTTTAGAGGTTAGCTTTTGCATCAAACAGTCAATCATCTCACTGTCTTTTTTGTCGACCGGCCTTTGACCTGGGCTTCGTTGACCTTCCTGCTCTTCCAAATTGAAAGCACATTCATTGTCCCTTAGCAGCACGGACATGGTTTTGACGAGGCCGTCCATGGATGGCTTCTTGGCCTCTTGGCCCTTATCGTTGAAGTTACTCATGTTGCTTTCTGGGGTTGGAAATGAGTCCTGCGTGTGGCCTTGTCCCCGTTCCACTGCTGCACAGTTGTTTTTGTTTTTTTTTTTGTATATCCCCTTGCAACTTCTGAAGTCGCTTTTATTTACCAGTTGGCTTTTTTGCCAGGGGAATGGGCGCCGACCGGTCTCGATAAGAAAAAATTGGAGAATTGCTATTCGGTGAGGCCACTACACACGTCCGTATAAACACATATAGATATATATAAACGTGTAGGTGTATATGTGTGCACAAAATGAACCTTCCTTAACATGAGGACAAAAAATAAATAAAATACAAATAAAAATAAGCTTGCTTCACGGGACTTTTTTAAAAAAAGGAGAAATTCCTGCGAGCACAACTTTTACCTTTTTTCATGCACCTTCAATTTTTGCGCAATCTGGCTGTTGGAAAATAATTTCCCGCTTATACGTTTTCTTCCTTTGCTTTCCCTTGTGCCTCTACACGCGGTAAAACAAAAATCAGCGGAAGCCGCGCGTTAAAAAAGAGAAACGCTGTTCTACAATATTTCACAAATATATGTCACAGAAATGTGACATGTTAAAAAAAAAAAAAAAAAAAAAACAAAGGTGTTTATTTTTAAGAGTGGTGTTCCAATATCAGCATACGCTGTTTTTTCACTGCGCTTTGCGGAATGAAGTCAATAAATGTATATATGTATGTAGGGTATATATATGTACGGTGTATAAATAATCTTGTTGAGAAGCAAATATGTCATACGGTATAAGAATGCAATGCATTCGAAAATGCTGAGAAGGTGGGTGGAGAGTTTTAACACGTGCAAAGTTGTTTGCCAAGTTTAATGTAGCCATATGAAAAAAGGGCACATATACGTAAGTAAGATCATACAATAAATTAATATCAGTCAAGGATGCGTGTATATTATATTATAGAAGCGTTTGTTGGGGAAATCAGTTGCGATTAAGCGGTTAGAAAATCGGTGGGCGGGAGAAAGTCGAGTCATAATTAAAGAAGAGAAAAAAAAAAAAGGGCACAGGTTACAAGTGGTTCTCATTACGTTGATGTTAATTAAATTGTGATATTAATATATTGTGCTTTAATATGTGAGAAGCATGATGTTGTGGCACATGAATATATATACTTTATATGCGTATTTGTAATCGTATATGCATGCGTATTTGTGCGGTGGATAGTGGAAATGAAAATAACACGGGCTTATTTATAGCCTACGCATAATAATTCGCAAAGCGTGCTCATTTTCGTGCGCTTGCATATATGCGAGGAGGAAAAGGGAGTGGGCATGCAAAAAAAAAAAAAAAAAAAAAAAAAAAAAAAAAAAATTCATTGCATAAATTAACGTGTATGTAGAGGTACCGCGGGTGCGCGTTACTAGCATATGTTTACGCGGTAAAGAAACAAAACACGTCGTGGAAAAGCAAAGAAAAGAAATCGAGGAAATCAAGGGGACGAAATGAAAACAGAGAAAGCCAAAGAGAGGAAAACAAAAATTCGCCTCAAATGATACCCCCCCACGTGTGACAGTTTTTTCTGCAACTTACAGGTGAAATAATTCGAAAAGGTGTATGCATATTCGTGAACGCATATGCGTGCGCATGTACAAGTGTAACATGTGGCACTTTATACGTGTTCTTCCCGCGCACGCTGCGAAAACAAAAGCGTCGACGTAGAAATGAGACCATAAGAATGTACATAAATGCACGTCTATATGTGCAACACCGTGGGGGGTGTTAAAAATCAGGTGCCCCTTTTTTTGCAGCATGTATATAAATAGCGCGTTTTGCGCAATTCTACATGAAGACTACTCACTCTTGCACGTTAAACACATAACTGGGCAGCACCCCCCTCATGCAGTCGTTGCAGTGGGGGGGGCACATAGTTGGTCCATTTCTACACTTGCATTTTTTTTAAACATCTCCATCCTCCAAAAAAAGAATGTTCACACTCACGTGAAGCAAGGGTTAATGTTACACATTTTAATTCTCAAAGGTTTCCCCTCCCCCCCCTCAAAAAATTCTACTTTGTTCACCATTTTGCGAAAGAAGCGTGTGCACCAAGTGCAAAAAAAAAGAAAGGTATTTTTAAAAAAAAGAAAAAAACATGTGTGCCCCTTTAGTGAGACAGGTATTCATGAACTACAGTCCTTTCTGTTCCACACTTAGTTGCGGAGCATGATGCTTTGTATTCCTTTTCTCGTCAATTTTTGCACACACATGAATGTAGTAGGGCACAAGAACAAGTCCTGCCATTGGAATTATTCACTTGACCTGTGCAGGTTTTTTTTTTTTTTTTTTTTTTCCTGCCGAAATAGCTAGCTTGTTCATACAAAATTGTGACCCCTTTTGTGATATAAAAAAAAAAGAAAAAAAAAGTGCGGGTAACTGCTCATTCCGCTGTTGTGGGAATACTCATGAAAGGAAAAAATTCCTGCGCTGTCCACCCTCACTGGCATGCATTTCTCCGCTCGCATTGTTTTATATTTCCTGTTTGTAGATTGACAAAATGGGTGTACTTCCCCCTTTTTTCCACCGTTCAACTTAACTCGTCTGCGAATGTAGGTAAACGAATGCCTATGTGGTGCAACAACGCTGTAGAGGACGGCACTTCCCTGATGGTTACGAGGAAGCAGGTAGATGTTCGAATATAATATGTACATGCATGAATAAAGCAAAGAAAAAAAAAAAAAATTGCCTTTTCCTATTCGATGGATAATAATTGAAAGGAGTTAAAGGGATGCCCCGCTTCTGCACTTGATAAGCATACCCCCCGCGAGTATCCACAACAATGAAATGGGCTGCGAAGTACGTGGCACACATTTGTGCTGACTGCTTTCTACTCGAAGAAAGCGAAAAGTGGCATCTCACACAGTGGTAGTTTTTTTTTTTTTTTACTTCCAATTTTTGTACCACTTGTTATTGCTTCGCCGCAACGGTTTTCTTGCCCAACGTTGCAATGAAAAATTGTAACAGAGAGACCAAGTTGATTTACAGAACGTTGAGCGACAAATTTTTTGTAATCAACAAACCTGTAAACTGGACATTGACAAAGAAAAAAACGAAACGAGCAGAGGAGGGGGGAGGGGCATTGGCTCCAACTGGTAAGCCCTCTCCGTTGTTCAGTAGAAACAGTGACAAAGCAAAATGTGTGGAACAAACAGATTACCCAAATGACAAACAAAGAAGTAATATGTACAGGAGAGAACGCTTTCTTAGCCAGATGAACAACCTAAGTAGCGCTGAAAAAAATGCATTCCTTTATACAAATTCTGCCTTATACTTATACAACGATTTCAATTTTACTCTGAGTGGGAACTCCTCCACAGAGAATAACCATAAAGATAAAATTGTGCAGAAGTATTATGTAGAGTCCCTGTTAAAATGTGAGACGGACGGGGATGTGTATTACCCGTATAAGCTCCCTATATACATGAGTGGTCTCGTCATATGTTGTCGAGATTTACTTATTTACAAAAAATTTTTGCAAATGATTAGGGAGAATAAGTTGGTGCGCAAGTACAGATGTTTGGTACGTGACCCCTTCATCTCTGTTGAGAGTAATAAAGTGAGTTTGTTCAGGGAGACAGCAAACACACATGCGTGTGCATACACAAGCACGAATGGTGAGGACAACAAAATTGATCACAGAACAGCTATACACTTTTTAAAATCACTACAAGCACAAAAGGAAGCGAGTGATATGTTTCCTTATCACAATTTTTTTGCGGACAATCCCTATTCCTCGAGTTACTGCTATCGGTTGGCTGACTTAGCGATCGATGAATGTAAAAGGGGAGTAAATCCCACGTGTAGTATAAACAAAGAGGGGAACAATAAAAATGGAAGTAACAGACCTTACAGGGGGGGGAGATTCACTGCGAGGGAAGAAAAGACCCTCAATTTTGACCACTTCGTTTCAGCCTTTTTGAGGAGAAGTCCCCCAGTGAAGAGCCTCAACCGCTTTTTGTCCAACCTCCTCAACAACAATAACGCAACCCTGAATGAAAGCGACGAGTATGATTTAGAACGCGAGAATGAACTCCGAGTGAATCCTCCTATAGGGTACACAGAGCAAGAGAAACATAAGCACAGCGACTCAAGTGTGAGTCGAACAAATGGTGACCACTTACTGTACGATGTACAGATGCAAAAGGAATGTCTGTCCAAAGAGGGCAAGATAAAATTCCCCTTATCTCTATACTTCAACCAAGGGAACTTTTTTACCTTTGACAAAAAATTCGAACAAAACTCCATTCCTGTCTCCATGATTTACAGAATGGAGAATTATAGGGCCTACTTGAAAAGGAATTTAAAAACGTGTTTGAAGGAGGACGGTGTAAATATGTTTTTGAATAAAAATTCCAACATTTGTATTATCGAGTTTGTTTTTCTGGACAACCCGAAGCCTGATTTGATCAGATTTTTTTTTAGCGAACTGAACACACCCATAATTAATGACAATATATTTGACAGGAATTCATTCAAACGGGATGTAATTGGTGAAGTGATTTGGAAGCAGTTGGATGGCAGCTACGCGGATTTGTCTCCTCCTCTGGCGGGTTCTCCGCTCTTCGATGAGCCTACCCATTTGGGTGTTGAAGTGGAGCAAGAGGATGGGGTTCAATCTACCACCTGGGGATTTCAAAACCGTGATAGGAAAATTAAAGAGTATTTGCTTAAGACGAGAGACCCCGACGTTAACGCTTTCACCATCCCTGGAATGGGGGTGACTTCGCAGAGCTGCGAACAGAAAGTACAAAAAATAAATTCAAGCAATTTCATCATACAGGACAGTAGTTCAAGTGGTGGACACGACGAAGGGGGGCACAAATGTCCACAGAGCAGCGGACAACAAATGAAACGTTCCAATAACAACACGAATCTGTGTCTGGAACTATTTCAGCTGCAGTTTTTGGATCCAATCAACGGCGATCATGTGAAGATAGAAAATTCTCTTCCTAGCGCATGGCTTTAATTTGTAATTTTAATTTTTTTTTTTTTATTATTTTTTTTTCGTTTAAAAAGTTGTTTTCCCCATCGCGGCATATTTTTTTTTGTAGCGTAGCTTTTTGGCGCGGTCGGCCGTTTGACCCAGCCCCATGTCAAGCACTTTCTTATTAAGCGTAGGAAGCGTGGTGGCATTTAAAAAATGATAATAACCCCGTTGCGAAAAACAGTGCGCAGTTATTTACCTATTTTTTTTTTTTGTGGCTCCGCGTTGGCGTAGGTTTTATTTGGCTCTTCGAGCGTTACGCTGTTCCGTGGGTACGTAGATGCACAAGTACGTACACGTATGTATGTATATATATATATATATATGTTTTATTTGGCTCTTCGAGCGTTACGCTGTTCCGTGGGTACGTAGATGCACAAGTACGTACACGTATGTATGTATATATATATATATATATATATATATATATATATATATATATATATTAAGCGGAGCAAAACAACTGTCCCAATGGAAAATTAGTACAAATTCGCGTTGACCGATTTTCTGAACATAGCGTTGTAGAGGTGCAGGTTTATAATAGCCCAGCTCTGAGGATAGCGCGCGGCCAGGCGTTTTTTAAAAACAGGTTGCGCCTTTTCTCTTCGCTTGGCAGAACAAATCATTGGTTCTTCGCTGAAGGTTGTTTTTCTCTTTCTCGCGTTTGCTTCTAACCCTTGGTGGCTACCGAGGAGAAGCATAACCTGACGTTTCTCCCTACCGCGGCCAAAATGATGAAAATTACAAAGGAGAGGAGAAAGTACCGAATTAGTAACCCCTATGATGAGGCGCAGAAGGTGAGCATTAAGGCCAAAGCGGAGGAGCTAAGGGAGCTCAAAAAAAAGGAACTCCATGGACAGTATGAACGCAGCGATGAACAGAAGGACGAAGAACACAAAAACGCAGCGGAAAGATTTATGCAAATTTATAAAGAGTACATAGAGACAAGTGAACAAGTGGAGAAATTCAAAAAAGTAAATGAAGACCTGCAGGAATCGACAAAGAAAACTGGTAGCAGGAAAAAAATAAAAAAATTAAAGTTGAAGCTAAAGAAAAATAATCTTATAGCAAAGTTGGTTAAAAATAAAGCCATCATTAAGGCAGGCAAGACATTCTTGTCTCTAGCGAAACGGACAAGTGAGAAGAAAAATTTGTCAACCCAAGGGGGGAAGAATAATAAATCGGAGGACGTGGTTCCCAGGACTATCCCCTCAGTTTTGGCAAAAGTGCTGCGTGGGGACAATTCGAAGGAGAAAAACGGAGTGGAGAAGGTATGCAAGAAGGGCAGTACCCCCAATGGGTCCCCTCTCAATGGCGATGGTAGCAAGACGAGCGGTCCTCATGTGATAAAGACTAAAGAAGACGTACTAAACCAGTACGACGATATAATTAGTGCCAATGGATTTATACAAAACCCGCTGGAATATGCCAGGAGGGTTATTGAGCAACGGCAGAAGCAGGGCGGCAAAAACGCTCCAAGCCAAAAGGCGGCAAAGAAAAACGTCATGAACAAGGGAAACGTAAAAGGGAGACCTTTTTGACGTCTTCACATCGCCGCCCAGCACGGCCATCTTCGACGCATTTGTAACGTTGTCAAGGTTGCGCATTTTTTTTTTTTTTTTTTTGTAAAATGAGGTGTCTGTCAGCTTGACGCAGCTCCACCTCGCATAAAACGCCTAACCGGGTAACACCCCGTTTGACGATATTCTACCTTTAGGAAACATTTTTTTTTTAAAACTAATTTAAGATGCAAATTTGTTCCTCTTCGTAATGGTTTATGAGCACACACAGTGTGTGTGAAAAAAGGGTGCACGCGTTGTTAAGCGGTCAAGTTAAAACAGCGTAACCAAGGCGCTTAACCACGCCCCACAAATGGAGTGGCCTCTATTGCACGTGGAGCGAAAGTGCCACGCAAGGGAGAGTCGGCCCTTATCATCCCTTCACTTGCTTCTTCGGAGCTTGCCCCGGAATTTTATTTTTAAATTTACTCTGCACATAATCATGCATAATTTTCTGAAGCTCTATATTCTCCTTTAGCCCTGGTTGTGCCTTCAAAATTTTTTCATCAATTTCTAGTTCCTGTCTCCACTCCCTCGGAACTTCAACTCGTTTATAATTTTTTAAAATTTCTGGAGTCTTATAATTTCCTTTTTCTCTTTTTAAAACTTCTTCTCTCGCTTTTTCTAAAATTTTTTTTTCTTCAATGAGCTGTGCTAGGTATTCTGGTCTGTCTATATATTCGAGGTCAAAAAAGTTTACTGGCAAATCATTGTCCACTGCTATTTGTGCCTTTTTGGCCAATTCATAATCGAACTCAACCATGGCATTCACATTTTCTTGGGTTAGATTTGCTCTTGGCCTTGTTATGAGTTTCATTTCTAGCAGTTGCGAAACGGCCATGACTCCTGTAAGGGGGGGGAACAAAAAAAAAAAAAAGCGGGTGCGTGCAACGCTATGCAATGGTATAAAGAATGCTCAAGCGGTCCATCCGGGGGTGCACACAAATAAGCATGGGCACATTTTTGCGGTAACTCTCTTTCACGCCAAAGTTCACACACTCTCCTCTTGCCCTACCTGGGTGAGAAATGAAGGTCGTTTTATTTTGACGTACTCCAAAGGATACCAACACATCACACACTTTATTCGATAGCCGGGTAGCACTTTTGAAAATCATTGTCGAGTTGACATGTGCAAGTGGGTGGAACGGTGTAAGTGTCCGTGACTGCGGTGTAGAGATACACACTGTTGCTTTGCCCGTGTTGACAGATCAGTAGCGGTACACCTTCAACCACTGAGAGTGGAAGCTGACCAGGAAAATAAACACTACAATGGCGCAGTGGGCGCAGTGACACAGTGCAGGGGGGAGTGCCTATCCGTCCGCGCAGCCCTTCCGCTGAAACGCGCTAAAAGTGGCACAACTATGTTTTGACCATTCCTGCATTAGCTTCAAGTGAATGTGTCCTTCCCCGCGAAATGCAAACGTATGAACATGAACATGCGTTTTTCCTAAGTTACAAGAAAGAAAAAAAAATGGCAATTTTTATCTCCCTCGTACTGAGTATAAAACACAATTATACCTCAAGCATTCCCAAGTTTTTTTTATTTTTCCCTCCTGTTTTGCTTTTTAAAAAATAAGGTCGAAGAGAAGAATCAAAAGCAAGGGAAAAGACTAAACGCGTGTCGCTCGCATACATTTACGGGACCAAATACCTACTCGCTTTTCGCACTTGGGAAAAAAAAGGTGTATCCATTCTTGTGTGAACGAATTGTTAATGTGGTCCCTTTGAAGGTAATAAAAAAAATGTCAACTGCACAAATTGGTGCATGCGAGTTGGTGGGGATACAAAAAAGGATTTTTTTTTTTTCATACATGGGCGTGGAAACTTTTTCCCAAGATGGGAAAAATTATCTTCCCCATTTATTTTATACATGCTCATCTTTCACTTTTACACTTTTGCTCTCTTTCTAAAATGTGTCATCCGTCCTCCTCATCTTTTTGGCAAAATGCATAACTACCGGGGGGCGCGCAGTTCAGGATGGTTGAGCGTAAAATTAGAAGCACTTTTTGTACGTACAACAGTCTTCCCCACTGTGCAAGTTCGAGAGAGATGGATCCATATTTCTCCGTGGCCACTGTACAGGGGAGAGGGGCCTATTGCTCCCACCAATTTTGCGTTGGCGTTATTTTTAACGCTACATACTTGTATGTGTCACGCGATGTGCAATGCAGGTGTGTGTATATTTGGACATCCGTCCCCCACCCTTGCTGCCTTTTCGCCAAGCGTTACTGGGTCATGTAGAAAATACCGAATGGTCCCTCCTGTATATACACCACATAGGTACTATAGGGAAATGGGTAAGCACACACAAATTTGATGTTTTCGCAACGTTGAAGGTGTCTCTTTTTGGTTTTCTTTCGGCCATCTGTTCAGACATTTTTAATTTATAAGTAAAATGTAAGCTCCTCCCCCAGCTTGCCAATTTGCATGTCCTCATAAACTGCAATGTTAACCTTTTTGAAACAGTTACAATATGGTTGTTTTGAATAAGTGTTACAAAAAAAGGAAAATAAAAACAGTTCTACAATCTGCTACCTCTTTTTAGTGCCATCCCGGGGAACAAGTCCATATTGGTCAATTCGTCCATTTGGGCATCATTCTCGTCATTTTTTTTTTTTTTTTTTTTTTTGCCTCTGTACACATGGGCAATTTTTTGTGCACACACAGGGTATTCGAGGCATGAGGTGGAAAATAAAAAAAAAAATATATATATATCCATTTGACTGATCAATGCGCGAGGTGAAATTAGGAAAACATATGGATCACCCCCCCTGGTCCGTAGTCATCATAACGGGTTTATAGTCCCCTCTGTATATTCGTGTCCTCCAGACAGACCCGAAAGCCTATTTCACATTTGCCGCATTCGGCCCTGGGGGCATCATTCTTGCTTGATGTACTCCGCTGTAGAAGCACTCAAAATGAGTGACGAAACTAGCGGCATATCACTGATAAAAAACATCGAACAGAAATCGCTGGAATGCAGAGAAGGCAACGAAATCGTCGTGCTCAAATTGTGCGAATTGTGCAACTGCATACACCCCATATATAAGAAAATATTTGGCGATGGGTTTATAGCTGACCTGTTAATAAAAGACTTAAAAAATTCGACTTCCAAAGTCCAAAAAGCTGTGGAAAAATTCCCCGAAGAGGTTAAATATGTATCCACCTTGTATTCGCACAATTTAAAAAAATACCCCAATTTGCAAAAGCTAAAAAGCGATACAGATAACGGAATAGTCGATTTCCTGTGGATGAAGAGGACAATTGAGTTTATTGTAATTTTTCTCGAAAAATGTTATGTGACAAATTATACATCCAAATTAAATGTGTGTGCGAGGGACGCGTATGACCAAGTATTGAAAGCTTATCATGGTTTCACAACAGGGAAAGTTGTCACCCTGGCGCTGAAGTTATCGCCTTCCAGGGAGGCTCTAACCGAAAGGTTACAATTCGAGTCCAACGAGCAAGCGAAGGCTCACCTGCAGGGGTGTCTCACCATAACGAAGCTGTTGATAAGCGACATTTCGAAGACGATAGAGCAGAGCGGCTGCAACTTCGCGGACAAGGTTTAGGAGGGGAAAAAGGACCCGACAGGAAAAAAAAATAAGTGAAATAAAGTAAAATGTGTGTGTGCTGTGAAATGCACCACTTTTGGCTGTTTTTTTTTTTTTTTTTTTTTTTCCCTTGCCTGTTCATAATTTTTACAACACCTGCGCAGTGGCTACCTGCTAAGCGGACACGTGCGCACGAACGGGGCATTTCCCCTTCTACAGCCTCTATTTGTGTAGATATGGAATTGACCACTTACGCATGTGCCTATATGGTATCTATTATTTTTTTTTTTTCATCTTAGCAACTTGGTCAGTTAATGTGGCTCCTCCGCACAATCACCACTGTTTCTCTAAATGAAAGTAAAAATTATGTCGCCTGTTGAGAAAAAATATGGCTCTAACGTGGGATACTAAAAACAGGCGACCATTTTGTTCCGCATAAATGTTTACACGCGCTGATGACACTTCCACAGAGATGTGTTATCATTTATATACTCTTTACAAAGGAGTAGAACATGCAATCGATTGTCATATCCTGTTTTTTTGATAATCCGTGGGGCGGGATTACACTCAGTGTGGCTGAACATTCGTCATCTCTAAGTACACACACTGGTGTGTGAATAAGGCCTGTGCCCACCTTTATAGGGAATCATGCACAATAACTTCTGCCTTTTCCAGGGAATTAAAGCGGAACGAAAAAAAGAACATATAAATATTATATAAAACCGAATGGCCTGTTCCATGCTTGCACACTAAAGATAATTTTGCCTAAAATGTAAGTTGTCGCATATCTGCACTTTTTTGCGCGTTAAGGGTGGTGAAATATATATACTCACCTAGAAAAAAAAAAAAAAAAAAAAAAAAACACCTGAACAAGCAAGAAAATTTTCGTACTTTAAAAAAAAAAAAAATAATAAATGAAGCTAGAAAAACTTTATGATTTTTTAAAAAAAACAAAAGATCATGGGTAAACAAAACAGAGATGGAAAAAGATGCTTAGAAAAACGAACAATTATGTAAATGCGCCTAAGAATGTACGAAAATGGTATATGAAGAAATTTATAAAGTGAAAAGTAGCAGAAGAAGGGATTTACTCGATTATAAATCCCCAAAGTAAGCAAAAATTAAGAGAAAAAAAAAAAAATAATAAAATTCACATAATACAGAACATATTATATATAAAAGGGCAACGAAAAATGAAAAAAATAACTTAACATGTGATGAAGAACAACCCACACAAAACCCAGTGGCACAAATTCAGCAAAAGAGAGAACAATCTACTTAAGAGCCTCCACACACGGAAAGGTGTTAGGCAAAATATAGTATACAAAGTGCTAGCACACAAATATAGCACTACCATTAACGCATATATGTCACAATGTAATATTTTTATATTTGTGGTTAACCCCTCTTTCAAAAAAGATGAGATGTTAAACTCACTTTTAAAAGGTCCATTAAAAAAACACGTTCGCACAAAATGATGCCGAGAAGCGAAAAACAAAAGGAAGAGGACGATTGGGAACTGCATCCATTATTTTTATCAAAAATTCCAAACAAAAAGGACATAGATAAAAACCCAGCTCTTTCAGCGTTGATAACATTGATCAATGAAGAAGAAGAAAAGGAAGTGTTCAGTTATGAACCAAGAAGAAAAAATCTAAAAAAAAAAATCACAGAAAAAGGACAAATTATCTACAAAAAAGATAGGAGGAATTTGTACGAACCCTATCAGCAAAATAAAAATGATCGGATGAATTATTTTGACAGAAAGACCCTCGGTGGAAATGCGGGTGTTAGTAAGGAGGAAGAGGTGGTGGACGTGGAAGTGGACGAGGAAGGTACCACTCTTACTACTGCAGAACAGGGAGGGGACAATTCTAACCAAAATGTGAACAGCAGCCAGCAGACCACAGACGAAACTTCCATAGGCGAAGTGCTGGTATGTTTGTCGATGATGAATTTGAAGCAGTAGTGGAGAATGAAGCGGTTCCCACCCTGCATAATAGCACTGTTGCGCAGTTGAACAGTTGCACATTTTTTTTTTTTTTTTTTTTTTTTTTTTTTTTAATCCTTCCCAGGACCCCCCTTTTTTAAATTGCTTTTTAGTCCCTTTGTATATGTCCCACACGCTGTATACAATGTGCGGGTCGTTTAATCACCCATTAAATGTATATGTTTGTTTGGAGTGTAAAAATTCGAATTATTTTTAATTTATTTTTTTTTTTGAAGTTTGCGAATTGGATGATTTGAATAGTTGGGGGTGGGAAAAACTCCTCCCCAAGCATGCACCTTTTAACCTTCTTTTCGCGTCTTTTTCAAGCGCGTGCATGGGTTGCTGCCCTATCCCTGTCCAGTGAGGCACTGATGCATGCAAAAGCGAAGCAAAAGCATAAATAGGGTGTAACATCAAGATGGTTCAGTAAAGAAAGGCGTGTGTACATACCGTATGGGTATACCCGCAAAGGAGGGGATGGTGTGATTCGAAAGTTCCTTATGAAAGAAGATGGGCACAAATGCGCACACCTGCAAAAAACACACATCTTTACAAACTTCCAATGATTCAAAAAAAAAACAAAAAAAAAAAAAAAAACAACAAACACTTAATAAGACGAATTAATTCAAATGATTAACCGCATATCGTTATCAAATAATTAAGAAAAGAAAAAAAAAGAGGACGAATCGGCTGACGGGTAAATGCAATGTAGCAAGGATGAAGGGAAGAATAATAAAAAAAAAAGAAAAAACAAACAAACGCGGATACAATTTAACCTATGTTGGTTGCAAAACTTTTTCGCTTCCGGGGATAGCGAGGTGTGTCTTAGGTCAGGGGCTCCTCCAGCTCTACTGCTTCGTCGTTATCTTTCCGATCAGAAAAGTCCTGCGTAGGGGGAGGGACGCATACAGAGGAATGTAAAAAATGGCAAGTTGCAAAAGTGGGATGTGGGCAAATGGGGGGCTCACAAATGAGTGACCGCACACTGACCACCGTGCGTCTCTCGCTGGCCTAATCGAATAATGAACATATAAAAAAAAAGAAACATATAGGAGCACAGGGACGCTTTTCCCCCTCATGGTTACCAAAAAATTCGCGTAGAACAGGAGCAGGAAGCCTATGGAACTGGAGTACAAAATCATGGTGAATCCAGCTCTGCGGGGGGAAGAGGTGACATGAATCAAGATGGGGTAGCGGTTGGTTAATCAGTAAACCTCCAATCGATGCATCTCTAATAGTGGATGATCAATCCTAATCGCATGCGTACTTGAGAGCCAGCCGGTTGTCGTTCGTGTATTTGTGCATGATATCCATTATTATCCCCGAGAGCAAGGGGGCGGAGAACCAGCCGAAGACGTTATATATGACTTGGGAGACGGCGGAGGACAGGCTCTTCTGGTGGTTGTTCACGCAGGAGAGGAGCATTCCTTGGGGGGGTGAGGGGGTAATGATGCGGAGGATGTCGTGTGCTGTACACATTAACAGGATGTATATAAAAATGAATGTGACTACGGACGCTTCTCCCTCGGGGTGAGAGAGAGTTTCTCCGTGGTTAGGCCATACCTACGGCGACGGGGACCAGCGCGGAGCCCGTGAAGAGACACAGCCACAGCGAAATGGAGAAAAAAAAAAAATTATTCAGGTGAGCAGACAGAATCCCAAAGATACAAGCAGAAATGGCAAAGGCAGTTGCGACCTTAATTGTTCTGGAGTAATTTGTATTTTTGTATCCCCCAAATAAATCACACACAAATCCTCCGAACCAAACCCCTGATGTTGGTGAAGTGAGGAAGCATAGTGTGGACACGGTGACGATTTTCATTTTTTCTGTCAACAGCACAACGGACATATATTCGGTGATCCAAAATTGTATTCCTGTAACCACAAAGTAGAGGTTACTCATTCCTAGGGTTACAATAATGTAGAGTTTGTTTTTGAGTAATTTTTTAACTTCTTTTAATGTTTTTCTGAGGACGTTTGTTTTTCTCTCCATGATATATGTTGCTGACCGGTTGAAGTTTCTGCGGAGAGAGCTAGTGGATGCTCCGTAATAGAGTCTGCTGGTGGATCTCGATTTGCTTCTGTCCAGTGTGCAGGTGGTCGATTCTGGGATGAGCGGATGTCCCTTCGGTTCGCCAGACGCTTTTTGGTGAGGGTAGTTCGCGTGCCGTTCGTTGCTGATGTGCGCCGCGCTGTAGGCGCCCCCTGCGTGCATCTCCTCCTCGGAAGAGGACCCCTCCTCTTCGCCCTCGCTGGGCGCACTGCCCTCCGAGCTAATGTTAATCATATCGGAGGGAATGAAAAGCATAATCAGAAACAGTGGGACGAGTAGGAAGGCCTGAATTAAAAAGGGAGACCTCCACGTGGTGACAAAGGTAGCATTCGGAAGCGGAGGATTGTTACGTCCATACGAGTACGAGCTATTTGAAAGGACCCCCCCCAAAAAATAACCAAAGACAGTTCCCCCTATGGAAGCAAGCTGTATGTAGGACATCCATTGTGTAGCTTTCTCATGTGGTGAAAATTCGTCGACCCAAACAGGAAGGTACACAACTGGGATAGCCTGACACAACCCATTTATGAACCTTGAGATGTACATGAAGGTGATGCAGTTAGCATGACTGAAGACGTAAAGTGATATGGAGAGCAACAGGGTACTTATGGTGATTAGTAGCTTTGCTGTTAGGAGCTCAAAGAGGACACTTGCTATTATGGTTCCAATGATTAAACCAAAGTAAACTAAGCTGCCCAGAAGAGACTGCTCAATGTAACTGAGCGGGAAGTCCTTCTGAATTTCTTCCAATGTGACGGGTATTGCACCGTGGTCGTAATTACACAAAACCGATATGCATATCATTAGGGTTAGGGTTAGTTGTAAAATGTGCTCATTAGTAGATTTACTCCTCAGTTGCTGGATTATGTTGCTGGAGAATTGGTAATTATTTATTCCCTTGTTTTCTTCCTTGTCTTTATTTTCTCCCCCTTTTCCATCCTCCGTCTGGGTCAATAGGGAATAATCATACCCGCTTCCCTTCCAGGCGTAGCTGAAGCAGTTGTCTTCTTGGGACTGCCTCTCGTTCTGTTGCGTCAGTATGGAGGACACCATGGAGGTTAGCAGGCCGCTGTAAGTCAGGTTGCCCTTCTTCGCGTACTGGCCTCGGTTAGGGGGTTTCCGTGTACAGGCGGCTGCGTGCTCAGCTTGACCAGATTGGGCAGGTTGTCCACATGGGGCAGACGGGCCAGACAGAACATACTGCATTGACCCCCCTTCGGCGCCGCTTGTCCCTTCCCAGTTAGTTTGACCCCCCTTCTGCGACACATAAACGGGTTTTACCATCTTCCCATTTTCGTCCTTGCTTCTTCCCCCTTCATGCGGTTTAGAAGCGGCCGACAGTGTGATCTGCTTATCTCCCCCCGGTTTACAATTTTCTTTGTTTTTTTTTTCCTGTTCCTCATTTGGGTCGCAGTAACTCGGGTTGACTCCTCCACTGAGGCTTCTCCCCCTTTTGAGGCTGCCAGCCGGGATGACGAACTTTAAAACATTGCTGCTGTTCTTTTGGTTCATTTGTCCGATGGGGCTGCTACTCCCGAGTGTGTCCTTTACGACACAGTTCTTTCGCGCTTTGTGGTCTTCACTAAGGAGGGTGTTCTTCACAAACACCTTGTGGCTTTTCTTCCTGTGCAATCCCATATGCCCATCGTTCAATCTGGCATTTTTTATTATGTTGTGACTACTTGAGTGGACACCACTGAGGTTTGCATTGTACTGCTTCGCGTGTCCCAATGTGTGTTTGTCATTATCCCATGGAGGAGTTGTGTTAATCGCCTGACTGTTCATGTAGGAGAGGTGGCCGCAGTTGGGGCTGCTCACCTCCTCGTACAGGTTATAATTCGCCTTAGGGGGGTTATACGTGGTGGCATTTTTCATGAGAGGCGCGCTTCTCCCTGGTGAATATGCCTCCGGAGTGACGCTCCGCCCATGGGTGTTACTAATGTAGAAGTTGGCACCCTGTGGGGATGCATTTTTTGGGTTTACACTAAAAAGATTATTCGCACCGCTGGTATAATTCATGGTGGTGGAGCACTGAGCTGCGTGCACATGTTCGTAGTCATTCACGTGCATTTGCTTAACGAAGGAGTTGCTATTTCTGACGTTCCATTTTTGCTCATACATGTTGTTATTACTTGGACTTGTGTTTTCTTTCCCTTGGTGCGTAACTAAATTATTTCTATGGAAGAACCCATTTTTTGCATCTACCAAATTTGTATTTGTCTGTTTAGCTAGCTGTTCCTTATGCATGGGTTCAAATTTCTCTGCAGCATCATCACCTCGCCACAATTTATCTCCCCCCTGGGGGTGTGTACACACAAGAGATCTGTTCATACTGTTATAAAACTGGGGATGCATACCACTTAGGTGAGCTTCCTTAACGTGCCAATGACTAACGTTGGAGCCAGAGATGCCATTTTTGTATCCCCCACTTTTACCATTGTCATCAGGTTTAGGAATTTTTTCCCCCTGTCTGAGGAACTCCCCATTTAGCAAACCATTTGAAATAATCCCACCGTGGAAACTACAATTTGAAATGGAATTATTTTCGCTAATTCCAGTAGAATTCTTCAAGGCGTTTTCTTCTTCTCCTTCTCCTCCTCCCCCTTGGTAGATGGTGTAGCTGCTGAGTGTATCACCATACATATTGTTGAGCACAGTTCCTTTTATGGAGCCAAAATTTTGAACAAGTGTATTTTTAGTCCCTTTTTTTTCAGTTTCATTACTAAATGGTGTTGATAAGGAGTTGTATGCATTTATATTTTTTTCATAGCTTCTGTTTTGTAAATCCATTTCGTATAATTCACTCTTCGGTGTTGATACGTCACTATGCAAGGGGAACCTGTGACTGTTCATTACTTGTTCACTTCTATCTGTGCCTTCCGACATAGGTGCTTTCGCTTTATCAGGCAGCTGTGTATGTCCTTCTGTCATGTGATTCTGCATGTTTTTGGTACAGGAGTTTGTCCTCTCATTTGACTTACTTATTATTTCGTTCATTCTTTCATTTTCTACACGCAAGGCGTTGTTCTGTTTGTTTTTTTTTTTTTTAATTTGATTCGTTTTATCCATTTATGCTAGTTCGCCTGGGGGAGAGGGGGCCAGCAAGCCTCTTTGTTGGGACCTCTCAGAGAAGCTTCCTTTTTTACGCTCGAATGGACTTTATTTGTAGTTCGAGCTCAGCTGCTCAGTCTTTTACACAATACTCGAGCGCTTCTTTCACATTTATGGTGGCGTTAACTCACTCAAGTGTGCATCTCTCGTTGTGCCTAACAGTTAACAACCCTGATTACACTGCAAAAAAAAAAAAAAAATAATAATAAATAATAAAATGGCACGTACAATGGAGTACCTCCACCTACATCGGTATGTGTACCCCTTCAGTGGGTGATACGTTTGGGGGAACCCAATACACATGTACGATTTTCTTCCAAAGTGTGAACTCACCACGTTTATGTGCATGTCATGCGGTGTCATGAACGTGTGTGTATGTGTGAAGTTAATACGGGGGAGTAATTTTCGCTTGTCCACCCCACTGCCTTGGGTTAGACAGCCAATAGCGGCAAATGCGCGCGACTCCGGCGTGCATGCGTGCTGGTGTACACACTCGCAGTTGCAGTTGCGGTTGTAATTGCAGTCGGAGTCACAGTTGCGCTTGTGTTTGTATTTATTTTTATTTTATTTTTTTTTTTTTTCCTGATACCTGCGAGGTAGTGTGACGGGCGCGCAAAACATACGCCGCGCGGGGGAAGTAATTTGTACGGCGATGCTCGCGACCACTGCCTAAGCAATTTCGCGAGTGAAGGGGCGACGGCACTCTGTCCTCCCACTGCAAAGACCAACGCGTATGCACAGCGCGGAACGTTTCTGCCGTTATACACACAAACGCATGTACGTACGTGTGTAGGTAGGTATGTATGTACGTATGTACGTCCGTATGTGCGTCCGTCTGTACGCCTGTATGCATGTGTATGCGCAGTTGCACGCGAGCGCAAGTAGTCCTTCGGTGTTGGTTACAATCGATATGGCTAATTCTGCATTTGGTGTTTCGCTGCGCCCGCTTTTGTTGCTCTTTCTGCGCGATGGTAATTTTTTTTCTTTTCCTTTTTTTTTTTTACCCCTCCATGTGTTTTGCCTGCCGTTTTGTTTTTCTTCTTTTTTTTTTTTTTTTTTTTTTATTTCGCAAAAAATAATTACACTTGTGCACATGTGGATGGGGGGTAAAAAAAAAAAAAAAAAAAAAAAAAAAAATGAAGAAATGGTCAGTGGCCAAGTAGTAGCACCACCCAATGGTGCAGAAATACACACATACAATGGTAGATAGAGGGAATTCTTTTTTTTTTTTGTTTTAACCCTCATTTATGTCAGCTACAAAAGTGCCATTTTGTCCCATTCTGTATTGTTGCTTATGTTGTGTTGTCTATCCGAGTTGCTCGCCAATATGGTTACACTATGCTTATGCTGAATTGGACAATTTATTTATTTATTTTTCTTATATTTTTTTTTTTTATACCCATTTTGTCCATCCTATTTTGACCCCCTGGGTATGTTTTTTTTTTTTTTTTTTTTTTTGCGTGTCTACTGCCCCTTCGCGCGTTGCACAAACTTGTTGCAACTTGAGGAGGACATTTTTTTGTCTCAATTGATAGCGGCTGTGTTGTAGCATAGGCGATTTTGTAAAATGGTCTTTACAATTTTGACCGAGTTTATCGGCGGGATGGTTATGGTCCGTGGGGGTCATACCAATGTCTTTTTTTTTTTTTTTTTTTTTTCCACAAACTAAATTAGAACAAGGGATAGGACAAAAAAACAAAAAAAAGTTCCTGTCCCAGTTTTCTCTTCCCGAATGGAAGGAACATTGGCCAATCACATAACACTTGAGCATACGCGCAGGTCCCATATGGAAGGTCAATCATGTGTACACATGTAATGAGGTAGCCCCGCTTACATACACATACGTATATACACAGCTGCGTTCTAATGCTAACAATTTAAGCGCGAAATTTAGCGTTTCTCTTGTGCGCCCTCCTGCAAGGCAACAAGGTAAAGGGGAAAGAAAAACAAAGTGATAAGGTAGGAACGCAAAAAGGCAAGCTACAGGGGGAACATCCAACATTGCCTATGCAACATATCCCACCACATTATAAATCAGGCATATGGAACAAAAAAATCGACAGAGGAACAGGTTGTCACACGAAAACACACCTGACGATAACTACACGGCGGTCCCCAATCTCATTTGCACTGAGTCCTTTTCGTACATATGTTCCGATGCATTTTTGCAAAGGTGAATATCACGATGGAAGGGACGACCAGGATGTGACTGCACCTATCGCCTCGCCCTTCCTGTTGGAGCAAATTACCAACCGACGGTTCCCCTCCATACACACATTGATCTAAGACATATTTCTTTTTTTTTAACTCTACACTTTAAAATGAATTGCCAGTCTAGCAAAAAGCGACACACCTTGCTTACAAAAAATTGCACTGTTTTTCTGCCCCCCTTTTTTGTAACCTTTGTACGGGTCTTGTATAGTGGCAATTAGGCAGATACATTGGGGGTTCAATTTCGGCTCCATTTTTACGCCCTTTTTTGGCCCATTTTTGGACCCTTTTGTGGCTCCTTTTAGCTACCTTTGCTGAACTCCATTTGCCCCCCTTGAGCTCTCCTCGCCGAGGCACAAGACCCGATTGCTTGTTCTGTGGATCCCCCGCAAGAGAAGGCACGTATGGACACCGTGAGGGATTTCCGTCCTCGCGTGCGACACATTCTTCTGCATGACACCATATATGCCCACGCATATCGATCGGCTGCACAATATTCGTATAGTCACTTTAACACGCGTCAGGAAATGTGCCCCCGGGTGCGCCAAGGGCACGACCAGAGCGCAGCCACAACGGGACAAACGTATGCAAAGGGGCGTATACAAGTGACCGAAAATTGTTTTACTTGATACAAGCCTGTGGAGTGAATCCACAATTAAAAATTAAACCCGTGGCAAGGAAAAAAGGAAAAAAAAAAAAAAAAAAAAAAGGAAACAAATTGGCTTTTTTTATTAAGCATAAATTGGAACAAACGGGCCTCATTTTTTTAACACCCATTTTTGGTATCATTTGTACAAAAATAATGCGGCACTTATGATAATAGTCTGCACCCAACGGACCAAAATTTTACCCATTCTTTTATTTCCCCCCATCAGTTATTGCTGCCCATGCAAGTTTCCCTGCCCCGAGCTACGCAGTCACCATATGGAAAGGAGCAGGTCCCTGTTCAAATACATTTCTTCCTTTATTTGACAATCCTATCGTTGTCACCGTGCCGCTGCTCAGGAACATGCACGCAAGTAATGCTATGACCAAGAGGACATTTTTGCAAACACACGTATGTATGTATATATATATGTGCATACGTGGAAAAAAAAAAAAAAAAATCAATTCTTGCCCCCTGTTTTAACTCCTCAGAACAGTACACCGGAGAATTCTACACAGAACAAGGATAAAACACCATGGCGCTTATTTGCATCGGCTCTGTTTGCTTTTCGCTTCTCCACGTGGGGGTCATTATTTTGTTCATCTTAAATTATTTCTATACGCACTTGAAGAAGTACTTACCGAACTTCCTGACTTGCGGCGAAGGTAACAATTTCGTTTGGCCCATCGCGAGCATTCGCAATTGTTTTTTTTTTTTTTTTTTTTTTTTTTTGTTTCGCGCCCCTTTTATACATATGATTAATACGGTACCCCCATTTACGTTTGAGTATCTCGGTCCCATCCTACAGCAAGAAGGAACGAACAAATTGAAGCGTCTTTACAGCGCAGGGAGAAGAACAAGGACGTAATGCATGAACGGGACCAGAACAAAGGGGGGAGTCTAGTGGGGCAGGAAAGCTCAGACATGAGGAGGCAACGACACGAAGCACACCGAACCCCCCGTGACCCCCGCATGAGATGCAAAGCTGTTTCCTCCCAAATGTGTACACTTTTTTTTTCCCTTTTTTCCCGCAGTATACCAAAAGCACCTATATCGACTTAGCGGAAGGAGACAGTTTGAGCGGCGTGTTGGAGTCTACTAAAAATGTCTCCGTGGTGGTGAAGTTCGGAGCTACCTGGTGCAAGCCGTGTAACAAAATCAAGGCGTACTTTAAGGTATGGTGGGAAAGAGGAGGAGCCGCAACTGCACTGGCATCAGTAGTAGCACAAGCGGCAGCAGGACAGTGGCACAGTTGCAGGCAAACTGCTTCGTCGTCTGCCTTTTTTTTTTTTTTTTTTTTTTTTTTCCGTGGGTGCTAATCTTTGATCCAGTCACCCACAAACTGTGCTCGCCCGTGGGCTTTTTTTTCTTCATCCCATTTATGCTTCCCCCCATATGTAACACACATTGAATATACTTTATGCTACGTGAATTCTCCCTTCCCGCCCTCCCCAGAATCAGACGAGCACCTACACAGTGACGCTTGTCGACGTGGACGTGGACATACATGAGACGCTAAGGGATGAATACAACGTTAAGGCTCTACCCACTTTTTTATTTTACGTGCAGATAAAAAATGAGTGGGTTTTGACTGAACGGGTAAGAATAGTTTGTTGCATCTCTTTGGCTACCCTACACGGGTCCACAGAGTACTACACCGTTCTACACCGTTTGTCCATCTCTTCATACCCACGTGTGCCCCCGTTAAATGCACACCCTCGATTCACTCCACTTGTATGCATTTCATCACATGTCCTCATCGTCACCCCCCCTTTTCTGCCGGCCCAGATTGAAGGATCCAACCAGGGAGATGTAGAAAAGGCCTTCCAGAAATACTGCGTCCCCAAGGACAGCTAAAACTGGGAGTTCACAAAGGAAGAAGCGCAAATGCTTCCTCCCACTAACGAGGGTATATAAAATCGCATCTCTGCCCACGTCTCCCCAACATGCTGTTTATTCCATCTCACCCCACGCTGGCAAAAAGGCGTGTACCTGTGCACATCCGATCACTAGTGTGTTCTCCCTGAGGAGGGACGTGCCCCCTCCCCTCTCGTGTGAGTCGCAGCAACTACATCCATCCATACATGTGCGATAGTGTAGTTCTCTCACCCTTATTTATTGTATTATTTTTTTTTTTTTTGTGGACCCTGCATCACCACAGTCTACTAACCAGTTGGTGATTATTTTTTTTGTTTATACGTTATGTATCGCCCATGCGCGTATACACATGTCTCCCTTCCCACATTATACTACAACACTAATAAATGAAAAAAATATATATAGTGGGCGGATGACTGCATAGTTACGAATTCCTTAATATAATCTTCATTTATAATTTGAGTTTTCAAAATAAAATTTTTTTTTTTATATGTTCTGTTTCCATTTGCCTGTATATACATGAGGGGGTGATTATGCTTTTCCTCTTTTTTTTGCGAGTACAAGGGCGCTGCTATAAAAATGTGGGCCCGCACCGTTGGTGTAAACGGCTCTGTGATATACCTACTCGTCCCGTTCCATTGCCCATGAAACACTTAAGCTCGCAAAGGAGGATAAAGGCGTAGTTGTTTGTAAATAAACCATGTTAAATATGAATAACCTTCACGGTTTAAAAAGGAACAAAATGAAATAATAAAAAAAAAAAAAAAAAAAAAAAAACACTGTATGAATCTCTTAACTTTAGAAGGCGAAACCCATAAAGGGGGATCGCCGTGTCGAAGATGCGAAAGGTGTAAGTTGATGTTTTTTTTTCACACAGCTTGAATGGCGTGCCTTTTTATGTTAAGGCTGCTCCTAAATTTTGAGGCTGCGTAAATTTGTGCACATTGAATTTCGTTGCTGCTCCCTGCCCCCCCCTTTTTTGACCTCCTGCGCCGCTCCACAGCGCGCAGTTGTTTTACCAAATGCGCGAGGAGAATGACGAGCGCGGCGGGACAGTGAAAAAAATAAAATGCTCTTAAATAGAAGAAAAAATGGATCACCAAAAAGGGTCACGTTACTGCTTCTCATACTAACACTGTGTTTAAAACACACAGCTCATTTTGTCCGGTCCTTTGCGCTGAGCAAAACATCTTTCGCCTTAAGTGCTACCAGTGGGAAAAATGACAGCGTAAGTTTTACATCTAGCGGGTGGGCAAACTGTTCACCAGTGAGTGTGTGGCGTCTTTTGAGTCATGTGTAATTAACACGAATCGACAAGCATGTGCAGAGGGTAGCTGCGTAATTTGTGTGATGTCTCCATAGAGGGTGCACATTGTGTTGATACGATATTTTTCTCGGGCTAGACAATCTGTGCTGTGATCCTTTTTTTAATTATTGAGTAACCCGATTGGATAAAGGGAGGCCAATCACGTAGGATAGACTGCGTCGCTGCAACTAGCACTGTTGCTAACTGCAGCGTGGTGACCACTGCCATAGGGTCGCTACTACACCGCTACTTCACCGCTACTACACCGCTACTTCACCGCTTCACAGGGGAGGAAGGCCCAGCTGAAGGAGAACCGGAAGCTCCTGGTCGAGATTGGGAACAGCCTCAAGGGGCAGGATGTAAAGCAGGCGCTGTCCAACCTGGACGACCTGCTAGAAGCCTACCAAAAGGATACCAAATTGTCGAGGAACATGAGTACCTTATGTGGGAATGTTTTAAATTTGTGTAGCAAGTACAATGACATCAACAGCATGATTAACGTAATAGAAAAAATGAAGAAGCACAAGATACACATGCAGGAGAATTCCTATCTAGCTATTTGTAATTATTATATCAGGAACAATTATATATATGAGTACCTGCTGACGATTAATAAAATGATACAGAAGAATATTACCATCCGGGAGAGGTTTTACAGGTACATCCTCGTTCATGTTCTTGACCTCCCCCTTGGCGGGGTTAGCGGGGTTAGCGGCGTGGACAGTGTTTGCGACGCGCCAAACAAAACGGAACAGGAGCTATATCACGCCGCGCACATAAGCAACAAAAGGTGTAACTTGATAAAAAATATCGACTACAGCAACTTTGAAAAACATATGAAGGAGGTAGAAAAATACAATATTCCAAATCTGAGTGAGGAAGACAAAAAGTACATCCTGAATAACTACCTACTCATTGACATTTTTAAACATATGAACGAGAACAGGGTGAAGATCAAACTGCTATACATTTTGAAGCTCATTCATTATGTGTACGAAAATGTGCAGCACTTGATTCGACGGAGCCAACCGGCCAACGAGCCGTCCAACCGGCCATTCAGCCAACCGGCCAACGACGACAGCAACGACGACAGCAACGACGACAGCAACGAGGATGGCAACGCGGATGGCGCCGCGCGGCACACCAAGGCGAAACTGCTGAGTGACGTCCTGACGGACCAGCTAAGGGACATCTTGGAGCTCTACAAAATGAACTACGAGTCGATGAGCATTAACATTAAAAAGTACGAGGATGAAGCAGACGAGGAGGAAAAACGAACTGTCTTTTATCAAGTCAATAAGATAATAAAAAAATTGCCCTTTATAAAACTAACTGAAAATGTAAAAAATACTTTCAACTGTAAAAATTGTGCAGAGAATATCAACACCTACTTCCTATCACTCAAGCATACCATCATCGTCATTGTGAATATTATCCTCATTACGCACCTGTTTAATAGTAAAGAGATTTTTAAAATAAAACATTTTTTTTCCATTCTGAATGGCGGGGGGAGTACTGCTGCGGACGCGCCCCGTGAGGGGGCAATGGAGGGAAGTGTCTGCAGCGCAATTGCGTCTGACGGAAGTGCGTCCAACGGAAGTGAGCAACGCAGTAGCGTACCCAAGGTGGAAGACACACCCCCAGGTGAAGAAGGATCCTCGCTGCCTGACCCACGAAGCACGAACAAACTGTTTGAACGCGGCACATACACGTGCCTCCTAGACGGAGCGAACATCGGGTATAATAAGCAAAACGTGGAGAATGGCCGCTTCAGTTTTTTGCAAATAGAAATTTTGAAGGAAATTATAAAAAAGAGAAATAAGGAAACGCCCCTCATTATCCTGCCCAAAATATATCACTACAAAAATTCATTGAAGCACCTGCAGCAGTGCGAGTCGGAGCAGGAGGGCAGTGCCAATTCAAGTATCTTTATACCAAACAAAACGATCAAGGTGAAAAAGGGCGGTTTGTTGTCTCGCAGGGGAGGAGAGGAGGAGGTAGTGCAAAATGAGGAAGATTTACGCCACGGTGATGAATCGCAAAGCGGCAGTGGTGAGTCGCAGCGGGGACCCCACCCACTGGCCTACATCAGACGCATGTTCAACAAACTAGACCCCACAGATGTGGAAATAATAAAAAAATGGGAAAGCGAAAAATGTCTGTACATATGCAACTATAACATGTACGATGATTACTACTACATATTGGGTAGCTTGGCCAGAAGTAACAACTTGTTCAACATATGTACGTATGTCGACCGCCTGGCAAAGCATTTTCACAAGTACCAAAACCTAAACCACAACATCATCATCGACAGCTACACTAGAAGTGGAGACAAGGAGGTCTACAATGAAAGAGAAATTTTACACGTGTACAATAATATTATATTTGATCAAAATAATCAAATAATGGTCCTTGTAAGTAATGAAAATATGAATAAGGAAAAAAAATATATTTCTATGAACGAGCAATATTATAATGACCAAATAAAAAAAAGGAAATATTCCCATATGACTTTTTTCGAGCAGTACAAAAATAAATTATCCTTTCGGGATAAGGACAGTGTGCCCTACTCCGATGAGAATGTGTTCATGGAGACATATATGTGTGATGCGAAAGGAGAAAATGTGCCAGTCTGTATTGGTGAGGAGGAGTGCGATTCGCAGGTCGGTTCCCCCAAAACTACTCCCCACCTGAGAAGCAAATGTAGTAAGAAGGAAGTACACCCTGAGGAGAGAAGCACCACATGCCAACGGGAAGAAAAGTGTGAGAAGGAACAAATGGAAGGAAAAAATTTCTACTACAGTAACATTTATGTGAAATGTATTAAAGACGTACAAAGTGTTCAGAAGCCCATTTATATTTACACAAATGACAAAATGAAGAATCACTACTTTAATGAGTACACAAATTATATTTTGAAGAAATGGAAAAAAAAAAGTTTCATCTCCTTTTACTTTAAGCAACCAATATTTATGTCTGACCTGTTAAGCCAATCAGAATCCAACTCAATAGATCTCTCCAAATTAATAAGTACGTACAAACTGCCTTTTGTAAATTTGGAGAATCCCAAGCTCTACATTGATGACATCGTGTCGTATAAGGACAAGGGCATTTATCACATTAAGATTAATACACCCAGTAAAACGTTTTTGTCTTACCAGAGTGAAAACCTGCCCTTCCTGCAGAGCGCCAACAACGTCGTCAGATACCTCTGCATCGACTTCTCCAAGGTGTACACGCAGGGGGGAGCGTACAACCACAGCCATCCTCGCGCAGGGTAGCATCGCGTAACGTACTATGCGCAGGGTAGCGTAGCGTAACGCACTGTGCGCACGTGGTGTACCAATGAAATGACGGCAGCCACAATTTGTTGTTTGAAGAGGCTCCTTTTATGGGCCGTGACTTTTTTTTTTTTTTTTTTTTTTTTTTTTGATTTACATAACGAATGTCCATTTTGTATTCTAAATGTTTGAAAAAAAAAGAAGAAAAAAAAAAATCCCAAATGGGGACAATCTTTTTTTAAGTCAAATTATTCATAAGGGGGGGTGTCTCCATTCGCCCCTGGTAGTTGACCACCAAATAATACACAGCTCAAGTCAGGTGGAGTTGCTGGCCCCCTCTCTCTTCTATGCCAAATGAGCCATACTGGGATGGGAACAGGGACTAATCCTTCATCCCAGATGGATCCCCCAAAACAGGGGGTTCATAAAAAAAAAAGGGAAAAAAATGGGTAAATCTCGAAGAGAATCTCCAAGCAAATCTCCTTCATTAGGAAGGACGTTATTTTCCCTCTATCCCACTTGTGTTTGTTGGGCCCATTTTATGCTGCCACCCCAACCTGTAGACGCAGCCACATGACCAGCATTATGTATTTATATATGGAGAGCTATGGGTACGCATTCGCCATCTGCTTCTGAGCCTTGACATTGTTCATTATGATGTAGTAAATCTGTTCGTAGTTGTCCGTTCCGAAGAAATTCTTCAGTTGGTCCTCTGTTATATGCTCTTGCTGAAACATGGCATGAACTGTGACAGTAGTGGGGAGGGTGGAAGACATGAAGAGGCATCATTAAGAAGAGCGCTTAAGTAGACATACACAATGTATAAGCTGCATTTTTTTTTTTTTCCCCCTCCTTTTTCTTACGGTAATTTGTCAGCTCGGCGGGGCTAATCAGCGTGTCCTTGTAGTCTGCGTTGTGGACGTGCAGCTTTTGCTTCTTTTCCCAGGGCAAAAGCTCCAGCTCGCAGACGCATTTTAAGATTGCTTTATCTCTGCAGAAAAGGGGGGAGTGTGTGGCCGATGACGTATATATGCCTCATCATGGGTTCCGCCCACTTGACCCAGTACACGCTGTGGCGAAGTTCGTCAATTAGACAGGTTGCCAAGCGTTCTCATTATTTTATTTTTTTTTTTTTTCCGTCTTCCTGCTCGGGGCCGCTCCTTACCTCTTCACAAAAATGATGATCAAAAAGTGAGACAGGAAGTCCGCCATGAGAATGTAGAACCCGGCGTGCAGGTAGTGCCTTTGACCAAACCTGCAGAAGTGAAATGAGCAGAACAGGTGCATGAGTTTAAGAAAAAAAAAGGGATGGAATCTTTGCCTCTTCCCCCCTACACTCTCTTTGCTGCCCTTTTTTTTTTGTCTCTTTTTTTGTGTTTACTCCATATGCGTGTTGAAGAAAAAGAACGGAATGCCAAACAGCATAACATTGACAATCGATAGACACTCTATTAAAATGATTAGCTTGTTGCAAAAGTGCACGTGCTTGAGGGCCAAAGTTTCAGGGTGCTCTCGGAAGTGCGTGTATATCAGCATGCCTTTTATTATCAATAGGTTTATTGCTGTGATTATGAACACCTAAAGGGGTAACGAGACGTGGGAATGAAAACAAGTATGTGATAGAAGTGTGGGGCCATACCGCATCTGTACACAAAGTGTATATATAATCGCACGAGTATGTATCGCTTTGGGTCCACGTCTGGGCTCCTCCCTCGGAGAGAACCCATCTCGGGCACAATCGCTTGAATTCATTTTACTATTAAAAAATAATGTTTAAGGAAGTTTATGGAGCCACACAGGGTGGCCCTTATATCCTTGTCGTAATTCTTCGTCTTGGATGTTTCCTCGTGAATCTGAAAAGTGAAGCAGCGAGACACAGTATAAAATGGGTCAACTCACCCCATGCGTAACAAAAAAAAATGAAGTTGTAAAAGGGAGGTAGCACAAACAGGTGAACGTTCATAGGAGCATGTCCCATGTTTGCACATAAAACCATTGAGAATGTGTCATATATATATATATTTTTCCCTTCCTACCCTGTTGCTGCAAATATCACTTTCAAACTTATACCACGAAATGTACTTGTTGTCATTATAGGGAGAGACGAAGAAAATCCCGAACCTTGTTTCGAAGTTGCGCACGGCCTTGGGAAGGTAAAGTGCAAAAGGGGGAAAGATGCATTAAGTGTGTCACATGCGTACTGTTGTAAATTTTCGCTTGTGAGTGGACATCGCGAAGTAATGAATCCCACGCCAGCTCAATTATGAAGAGAAGGGAAAATGGCCCCTCTTCTCATGAGTCAGAACGGAAAGGTAATAACCACGAACAAGGGCAACATCAGGGCAATCAAAAGGTACGCGCCGATAGAACAAAGGCATATTAAAATTCGGATCCAGCTGTTAAACTTGTATGGGTCCATTTTATGCCTCACTCAGGGGTATGCGCATGAACGTGAAGGTATACGTATTCGTATATGTACATATTTAAAGCGCACACGAACGAGTACTCACATTAAGACGACAAACAATGAAGACAAAAAAAACAAAAAAAAAAAAAAACGTGCCACTATGTTGATACTTGTACGAAACGTAGCTGTTCGCAAAAAAGACGATGTTTTTTTCTGCTCATCTACACACGGAAATGTCTTTCTCAAATTGCGAATCCAAAATGGTTCTGTGATAAACATTTTAAATACAAGGATGACACACAAATTTGAATGCAACAGAAAAACAAAAAAAAAAAAAAAAAAAGGGGGGGGGAAGATTTCCAAAATGCCAATGCGCAAATTGATTTCTTCTCAAATGAAACGTGTTGGTATTATCAGTTGTTACATGGACAACTTGTGGGGGACGCGCCTTTTACACATTTTGTCATTTAAAAATTTTTTTTTTTTTTTTCTGCTCAAATGTTCCAATTTGTTCTGCCGAACGAACAACAATTTTCCATGCGCGTGAATTTTTGTACAACTTTGGCGAAATTCATTTTGGTTGTCTACTGTCGTCGTTGATTTTTATTTCTCATATTTATCTGCTATGATCCAAGCGGAATGGCAAGCAAAAAAAGTATGCGCGTTGTAGCATGTGCATACCGACGCGGTGTATCCATTTTGATTCATTTTACTCCTGCGGCGTAATGTTTTCGCCATTTTTATGACGAACTGAAAAAATACAAGGAAGAATTTTTTCTCACTTTTTTTTTAAGTGATTTATTAAAAAAAAAAAAAAAAAAAATTGCAAATGGAATGATAGAACTTTTTTGCCTGAACGGTTAATAACAAAACGATGTGCACGTAAGTACACTAGGTTGAGGCCAGTTTCGACGCCAACAATGCCGATCGTTTGCCCATACATATATGTATGTAGACAATAGAAAAAAACAGTGTGCTTTTCTACACATTATGTGTACATATACGCTGTGAAGACATACTCTTCGCTGTTAAACATGCGTGCGTTAGTGAACGGGGTAGCAGCAAAACGAGCCCTTGACAGGACGGCGGTCTGCTAATATGCAACGTCGGGTGGACGGATAAAAGTGCCATTCGCCCTAAATGACTCTCACAGGTGAACTTAACCAACGCGAAATGACCTAAAATAAGACAATTCTTTCATTTGTGAAATCCCAACTTGTGTGCAAAAATGTGTCATTGGGAGGTTATTCCAAAGTTGACTAAATTTGGTGCTCTGCAACGTGTTCGGCAGGTGTAGTAAAAAATGAGGATTCCTCGAACGATCCACGATAGCAGCGTTAGAACTATTTTGACGCGACAATTTGGGTGGTACATGGGGTGGCCAAACAGATATGCGTAACAAAGGGGGCTTCTGTGTGAATTTTTTTTTTTTTTTTTTTTTTTTTT